ACTCTCAGTAGTTATAAATACGCCACCGTGTAATTCTGCGCTAACGAGAAGACAGAAATTACCGAGTAAAAAAAAAAAAAAAAAGTCGGGAGAGTTCGCGATGAAAACGAACAGTAGTTTGAAACGCGCTTGGCGCGAGTGTTATGCGCGGTTTACGTGCTCGTTAGAGCACGGGCGAACGAAGGATATCAAAGAGAGTACACCGGGAGAGGAAGGAGAGAAGTATCGTGACATATTCGCGAGGAAGAGACGCGCGTTTTCAAAGTATATGCTAATGAGACGTCTACCGAGAGAGATCCCGTCAGTACAAACCACATCACAAGATTTATCCTTCAGGCAAGTCGCTCGTTGTGTGCGTGTGTGTGTGTGTGTGTGTAACGTCAAGGTACAAACGTCATTTGTACAAACGACAAGCCCTTCGACAAAATCTCTCATCGAGTTTGCTCTGAAACTCCGCGCATGTGTGTGCGCGCATTTTTCTCTCTTTCTCTCTTCTTCCCCGTCCTCTCTGACTTTTGTTTTACCCTCTCGCAGTTCAAACAACACGGCGGCAAGTAGTGCGTTCTTCCTCGAAGGAACGTACTACATACATAACAAGTGTGCGCATTGTGAAGCGGCGAAAAAACTTTCTTTCTGTTCTCAGCGCGCCTGTCGAGCCGCGCCGCGCCGACGTCTCGCACCGACGATGCCATAATTCATCGATGTATGTACGTGCGCAAATTGCCGATACTGGGCGGTAACGTATCCCGTTCGAGAATAATTGCCGCGTTACGTTATCGGGATAACGAAATAACGCGAGATTGTGTTGCGCGCGATTCTGTCGGAGATGAGTACGCGCGCTGTTGTGTGCACATGTGCGAGGGCGTCGAGGAGTCGACGAGAGAGCATCGCGAAAATCGCACCGCGAGCGGAACCGTCGAGTTCTCATGACCCATGCTAATTAGTGCTCGTAAAGCACGTCACGCAGCCCGCTGAACCGAATAACCCGCTGACACACGTCGACCGAGAATGTGTGTGTTTTCAGTCCGCAACACGACCACAATCGCGTTACACACTTTTTCGTGCATAATATATACGTTCGACACGTGCACGCACAATATCGGCACGAAGACGTGCCTTGCGAAATATATGCAACATATGCAAACGCATAGCCTGGTTTAAAACGAGACTTTTTAGTCGTCGGTTATCGTTTTCTTTTTCTTTTTTTTTTTTTTTTCAATTGACATTCAATTTACGCGAACGTGTAGACGCGTGCAAATCGGCGCAATTACAAAAAAAAAAAAAACAGATTATATCGGTATTAATTTGCAAATGTGAGCTTAACAGATCGGTGCGATCTAATTCACAAGATAATTTGTTACGGAAATAAATAAAATAATTTTGAGAAATTTCGCAAATTTACGACCGAGACGTATCTGTTTATCTCCGATCCATTCTGTTTTCGCACAGATCCGATCTTTCATTCGCGTCTCGCAAGGTGTCTGATATTTCCGGTTAGGACCCTCGCGCGCAAGAAACTCCCTCTCATCCTTCCTTTGCCGTCTCATCCGCATATGTGCTATCATTATGAAGATGCGCCTCTCACGTGAGAACCGATCTTATCTGCCGTGACGATGTATCAGCCGGGCGAATCGCACTCGGCAATAATTAATCGTCGTGAAATCGGTCGCGAGTGTCTGCGTTCCCGCACGACGACTCGCTATATAATCTCCGGTTCTTCGTCATCTCCCTTCTTCGTTGTTGTTCTCACGCTTTCGCGAAGTTTGTTTCGACAACTTTGGTCCGGTATCTCGCGTCGAATTCAATCGCGCCGAACCCCGACACGCATAATGCGCGGAGATTTCGGAGCGACGGGATGCAATTGTTCCCCTTTGTTAAACGATAACGACCGGTAGTGTTTCTCCTAGTGTCTCTCCGATCTCACAAAAGAAAGCGCACGTCAAACGAGTCAACTTTAATTGGAAAACTTGTTGTATCATGCGGACTTGCGTCTTCGCGAGAACAAACACACACAGCGGATGTAATTGAACTCTTCTTACGCAATTCGTCCTCTTCCCGATATAATGAACACATACGTATCGAACACGCGCGCACATTCATTTCCCATTCCCTCTCCCGTTCGCGACGCGACTCGAAACAAACAAATCTCCTTTGCGTTTTTCTGTGCGTAACAAAATAAATATATAAAATATCTAATATCACGCGAGCGAAACTAAACCGCGAGCGAATGCAAGTCAGAATTTTTATCCGCAATCAAACCGCAAACTGAATTAAGTTAAATGACCCTTCGTCGATAAATTGTTTTTTTTTTTTGTTTTTTTTTATTTTATTTTTTTTAGATAACGGAGGAAGATGTACATATATAAATGTCAAGAGAACAAAAAATGCATACACGCACGTACCTCAATAAATATAGTCAACAAGCACGCGACGACAATCGTCAGCATTACGTGTCGATTGTGGATCGGCGCTCTGTGATGCTTCATTATTTCTCTCGGAATGTTATTTCCGCGTCACAATGCGTCCCTGCGATATCACTTTTCTTTTTTTTTCTCTCTCTTTCTCTCTCTTTGGGACAGGATAAAATTATTACGCGGTCACCATTTCTTCTCAGTTTTGAACGTTGGATTTTTTTTTTTTTTTTTTTTTAAATCGGACGACGCACTCTATTCAACTTGAGAAAGTTAAACAAATCCGCGCAAACTTTGAAAAAACGCGGTTTTGCGGTTTGACGCGAAAAAACTCGAGATGACGAATTTTTGCAAACTGTTGCGAGAAACTCGCCGGATCGCAGAGTCTGATGCTCGACGCACGTGTTACTTCGACGAAGGTACAACGTGAATTGAAAGGTGTGCGTCGCGGTGCAGCTGTTACTCGGAAACACGCGCTCGGTCACGTGGCTTTTCGTATCCCTCTCCCGGCTCGTTCGACGCTCCGAAATCGAACGCACGAGCACTTACGAATTTTCGTAGATCAATTGCGTAGATCAATTTCGTAGATCAAAATACTGATGAACGATACACACGGATGCTCCGGAAGATTTGCGCGCGTATACTTAAACAGAAATCTGTAATATTATAATTAATTGATCTAAAGAGAGAAACAGTATTACTATAAGTAATAATCGCTATACAAAATCGAACGCAATCAATAAATTTTGTTCATACGTACGACAAAAAAAAGATTCAGAACGTAAGTATATCGGCAAGAATAAAAAACTTAATCTAATTATTTATTCATTTATTAAGTTTAAAAAACTTGACTCCGACTTTTGTAGCGCGTTTGATTTCCGTGAGATACTTGTGATAATCAGCTGCGACAGCTGAACGCTTCTTCTCTGAAGCAGGTGTTTTTTTCACGGCTACAAGTATAAAATCCAACGTATAATCTGTATGCAATACTGTCACATGTGTACCTACACACACACACACACATACAAGATAGACCAATTTATTCAACACATGTGAATATCTCGAAAAAGAGAAGTTTTTTTCGAAAAAATAGTTTAGACAAAAGTTGTGTGGCTTCGAAGAGAAAAGATAATGATGTTATCAATTTAATTATAGATGGTGCCACTTTCAAGATTTCATCATGATGGCCATTTTTTTAAACAAAAGTCGATTTTTTCTCAAAACAAAAGTTGTAATTCACTCAATAAGACAAATACAACGGTTTTTTTATTTTTTCACTTTGGATCATTTTTTACTGAGTTACAGTCAAGTGAAGGATACAAGCAAACATTTCTATAAATATCAATGGATACAAAGATTTATAAAAAGTTTAGCCTCTTTAGTCGTCGAAATTACTTCTTTTTTTCCTTCCGATTCTTTTCTTTTTTCTCTTTAAAAGTTGATTTAACATTCAAAATTATGTTTGCTTGCGCGATTAGTGCGAATGAAAGATGAATACGTTCGCCGAAGAAACTGCAAGGTGTAAAATATTGACGTAACGATATCTTATCGATCACAGATTACTTAATTCTTATTTTGATAACAAAAAATTATATCGACGTAGCGATATGCAAATTTTCTGCACATCATTATATATAATTGCTTGCATTCTGCCGTCGCAATCATTTCTAATTATTTCAATAATTATTGTTGATGTTTTCAGTAACTTGCAGATTTGCAGAATAAACGCGAGGAAGAACAAGAGTTATGATTTCTCTTCCAGCACCAACGAGTGCTACGTCGACTACTTATAACAACTGAAGAATTTTAAATAAACGATTAATACAGCTAGTCAAACCAGCGCTTGTTACTACTACGGTTGAAAAAAAAAAGCTGTTTGCCTTCTAACTATTGCGTATATTTTGTAAAGTTCTAAACTCATTGTGCATATATTTACATTAATTTTTTTTATTCACATAAAAAAACAAAATAAGGCGTAGAAGAGCAAGAGAAACATAAATATTATTAATGGGAAACGTATATATTCTTGCAGGACACATAGTGCTGCATGTTATTTTTCCGTCACGCTGAGCGTTTTGATGTCAGATTATACCTTATAACAGATCTTACTGTATTTATACTGTAGTTATTACAGACTTGTTTTTTTTTTTACCGAGTTATCATTTTACTTGAGTTTTTGTTTAAGTGTGTCCATAGGTATCTCAATCTCTCATATTGTTTGGTCAAAGGTGTTTTGAATGGTATTCCGTTGAGACAATCTATAGTACTGATATACAAATCTTCTGCATATATAATAACATACTAATATGCAATCTTCTGCATAATTGCTTGCATTCTGTTGACGTAAATCATGTTATTCTTGAAGACATTTTCAGATAATCTGCAGATTTGCAGAATAAACGCGAGAGAGGATAAAAATGATTATGATTTTTGTTCTCAACGAGCGTCATGTCGATTTATAACAACTGCAATTAAAGATAAACCATTAATATATATATAGTCAGGAAGGTGGAAGCTATCCGTGCTACGGTTGAAAAAAAAGTAACCTTGCTCTCGAACTATTGCGTTTGTTTTTAAGTTTGCAAATCATTCTGTATACATATATGTTTCGATTTTTTTCCATCAAGCCAACTAGACAGCAAGACACGGAGACAAAAAATAATATGTCTGCATTCTTTTGCAAATCGGAACAACCGAGCACAGATAGATGGCAGTTCTTGTATCTTGTTGGCCAACACCGAGATAGTGAGAGTACGCCACTACCATAGTGGCGTTGATAATAATAACGCGATTCAATCATATATTCTTAGTAGGAATTGTCTGCCAAAGAGTGTTTTGATGTCAGATTATACTTTATAACAGATCGTACTGTATTCATATACTGTAGTTTTATATCAAAAAATTTATCAGTGAAGTATAACTGCTGATGATACTTGTGCAAACATAATGGAAGAGTCAAAGAATAAAGTGCAACATTTGAACGACGTTGAATATGTAAAGTTTGCCAAAGAAGCATTCGATCGGAAATTATTCCCGGACGACTTCGACAATCGGACACTGCGAGAACAATGTACCTGGATAACTGAGAATAGTGTTAAAGTCTTTCCAAACATCCCACAATCCTTGGTAAACTTGTTACCGGCCTCCTATCACGAAATAAATTATGACCGATCGCTACTGGAAAAACCTATATGGTTGGACATGAATAAATATCGCAGAGGACACAAATTTGTGAACGATCATTATGGTTCGGTGGCAATTGCCATGTTGCTGGGAATTATGCAGGTCTACAGTTTCGACTATGCTCTGAAACCAATGATTGTATCAAAACGTTCAGACACGCCATATTTAGGATTCAAAAGGTATTTCTTTATATTTTTTCTTCTCTCTTCATCGAAAGTCAGTTTGACAGTTGTCCTGGCATTAGCATGTTATTAACATTTTAACGATATAAATTCCATCTACGCGCTACCTAAATACGGGCAAATCCACCGTAGTTTTAACTTTTAATAGACTGTTTGACATTTGAAAAAAAAATAAATAAATTTTCATAAAAGTTAATACTACGGTGGATTTGTCCATATAAATTTGTTTATGTCATCGGAAACGTCTATCAGTCACTGTTGATTATTAGTAGTAAAAAGGACGGGGGGACACGCACTGTGTGTAACAAGAGTTTATTTTAAAAAGGTTCCTTTCTTTCTTATACAGAATTGACCGAAAAAAAAACACTGCGCGGTCGCGAGTGCGATAATTTTAAAGAAAATAGCATAAGATTATCTTTTGAATACTATACTATTATTATACAGCCAGTATAGCCGCAGAAGCTTGAAGAACATTTCTTAACAGTCATAATGATATACGATAAGTGTTTTTATTAAAACACTTATCGTGTTTTAATAAAGTAGTTTTAATAAAAACACTTATCGTGTGCTATATTATACGTCTCGTATTCAAGAAACAATTTTCTTGAGCATAAGAATGAGACATTCAGTGTCGCACTTATAGACATATATGTTTTGTTCAGACAATAATAATCTGCGGATTATATTTTCTTACATGCATCATAATAAAAATGTGATTGTAAAACGCTTTGTACATGCTTTTCGTGATTATTTATGCGTTAATAATTGAGTGTTTTCTAAGATATTATCAATAATGTAACAGATATTTGTCGACCGTACGACGAATCTTAAGCTGGTTCAACGGAGAGCCATGGATCAAAGGAACAGCAGCTTATAACGACATGCAATACGCACGTAAAATGCATTATTTTATGAGAAAACAATTGCGCGAACTCACCCATGAAGAAATCGACAATTTGTCTAATATTGCGGAACCGTGGTGTCCCGATCGCGAGTTACTGTTAAAGGATTTTGCTGCTGCGTGTCCATTTCAGAAGATCGAGTACCGTCCCTACATCGTGATGAGCAAATCGTCGCATAAACCGAAAGGAATAAATAACGCGGATTCGGCAGTTGTTCAATGTAGTTTCGCAAGTATGGTTCTACTCTTTTCGCAATATCTTGGAATACATGATGCGACTGATGAAGATCTAGAAGCTTTTGCTCACATGTGGAGATGTTACGGATATTGTCTCGGAATAGAAGATGAGTATGTCCTATAGTAACTTTTTATATGATACTTGCAAGTTTTTACACACACACTTTTTCTCTCGTGAATTTCTATATATTTAATACTTCTACTATTAATACTTTTATGTGTTACATATATTGGTATTAAAATATTATATTCAAACTAGGTATAACTTTTGTCGTGGTAGCCTCGATGAAATAAAGCAACGTACACGAGATGTGTATGAAAAGTGGATAATTTATAATTTGAAGGATATTTCACCGGAATGGGAACACATGACGAGATGTCTCGTCGAATCTGTCAATTACTATCCTCTCGTGTACGCGCCTTATAAAGTAGTGGTATTATTATCTACAGACATATTAAATTTAAATATGTCTAATTTATACGCATCTCTCAGTTTTGCAGAATGGATAGCTTACAAAAGTTGGACGTGAGTATCCTAGTGACAAACTCAATTTGTCGCGCAGTAGCAATTCTCTGATCTCAGTATTTGAGAATTTATTACATCAGTAATATAATCCTCTAAGATTTCCTCTTTTCAATAATTTCAGATTTCTACTACGTCATGGTTTAAAAGTTTCCTTCATTCGATATATCTTTAACAAAATAATGCATAACGTACTGAATGCAGCGGCGAATTTCAGTTCAGAAAAGCTAGCAAAAATTCAAGAACAATCAAATAAACAGTTAAAAAAAACAAAGGCGTAAAAGCCTGTATAGTAATATACATACACCAATGTTATAATGGTTAAGGATAAAACGCGCATGCGTGTGTGGATAAATTAGTTTAGTTGCAAGGTAGTGGATATATAAGTTAGTGTTAAGGTATTTTAGTTAAAATAGTTTTTTAAAGTAGTGTGTAAGTTATTAAGATTGACGTGGTGTGATGTAAAGAAAATGTAACTCTAAGGAGAACTTAATAAATATTCATCCATCAATGTTATGGAAAAAGCATAATTTCATTAGTTTTTTTGTAAAAGTATTTAAAATTCTTATGGAAAATTTGTAAAAAATTTTTTGTTGTTTCTCTCATCATCGCAACGAATTTTGATAGTTCACGTAGTTGAGACAACTGTTGTTGCACAAAGCAATAAATATTAATACATAGTGCTAATGAAAAAGTTTATTTATTTATAAAAAGCATTTTATTTATTTATAAAAAGCATTTTATTTATTTATAAATAACATTTTTTGCACACTCTTTCAATTCTGTCTGTATAGGACTTGACTATTTTAAATCTTTCAAAAGTACCTTTATACATTTGACAGTCTTTTATACATCGAAGCACTCAGAATTGAATTTCGAGCTCTAGTTTGTTGTTTGTCTATTGTTATTTGTTTTGCGATTATTTATTTTCGATACTTATTGTAGCTTTTATCGTTTTTACGAAGTCTGAAATCAACTTGCGAATCAAATAGTTTATCACTTTTACAGAAACTATAATTGAACAACTTCAAACGATGTACTGTTTCTCTGACGTGTATTTACGCAAGCGCGATCCCACAAAATTATTGTCCGACATATGTTTGTCCGTAAAACATAAGATGTTTTCAAACTTATCGAAGGTAATAAAACAAAATTTTATAAAAAATATATTTACGTTAATTAAATAAAGAGCATTTTACAATAAAAAGTATTTATATAATATGTATGTAATAATATATTTAAAGTTATTTTAACGTTTCCAGACTTTTGGCACACTTTGTACACATGTACACATGTAGTTTGTAAACAAATATATATATACAGTCGAATCTCTCCGTAATTTTCATACTCTGTAACTTCTCATACCCCTCCATTCGTTTTTCGCGCGTGAGGAGAGCCTTTTCCTATTACTTTTATCTATGGATAAGTAGTATATGTAGAATGAAAGTTCCACTTGCCGTTCGCAACACTCGTGAAATCATTTCATTCTTGTTTTTCACCGAACGTTGAACAAAGATAGGTAACGCTCACAAGTGTTGCGAACGGCAAGTGGAACTTTCATCTTACTTATCTTCGTTCAACATTCGATGTAAAACAAGAATGAAATGATTTAATGAGCGTTGCGAACGGCAAGTGGAACTTCCATCTTACATATTAATATGTGCGCGTATAAAATGCGCAGTGATATCACTGCGCATATGTATATTCTGTTACTGGCAGAACATATTAGAACAAATCTCACAACCTTGAGAATATTGTTGTAGAGATACGCACACAAGCGAGCAGCCGCTATGTGTCCGCTCAGCGTTTTGGCGAGCGACTGCTTACTTGTGTGTGAATCCTCTCTACAATGATGTACTCGAAACTTTTTCTGGTGGGGAAACCTGTAAAAACCTTAGCTATTTCTAAGTTCAGTACACATATGTTTCTTGTTGATAAAAAAACAATAAATGATAACATGTACGGACATATCTTATGTATTTTTTTTTCTCATTTTCTCGCATCAAAGTGTTGTAGTGTTACAACACACTACAGAAACTCGTTTAAGCATATATATATGGCAAGCAAGAGCTCTCATTTTTAGTAATATTCTGTCCGTTCGACGGAGAGTTTTAATCAGTTCTTATTTCAGATTACTTCAGATTACAGCTTCCTACGATTATTAGTGCTAGTGAAAAAGTTATTCGAAATACATACAAGATGGGAAATAGTGATACATTTGATAATAATATTAAATTCGTAAATCTATTCAAAACGTACGCCGGCCAGAATGAACTTCCGAACGAGTTTGATACTTGGACCGTAGACAAACAGTACAGCTGGATAAAGCAGAATGCGTCGAAATTCTTTCCAAATATACCGCAGTCGTTGTATAACTTTATTCCGGGTTTTTTTTGCGAACTTGATAACACTCCCTCTCTCGCAATACCCGATTGGATGGACTTGGACAAGTATCGCAGAGGACAACAATTTGTGCAAAACAATTACTTCGCAATTTTTGTGACTAAAATACTTAGTCTTATGCATGTGCGCACTTTTCTCGACGCAGCAAAACCAGTTATCCTTGGTGGACGGTCACACACTCCATTTTTAAACTTCAAGAGGTAAAGATCCACAAAATTCCGTGCTTACGCGTTAACAATCACGTTAACCGTTTTATTTTACGCAACCATCGCATAATAGTGACATTTTTTTCATCAATAGTGTATTGGTGTATGCAAATAAGTTAACTACGCATAAGTTGACTAAGCAATCGCGTGTAGAAGATCAAAAGTCAAGAAAGTTTTGTTATCTTATCTGTTCGTAAATACGTGCTGTGTTTATTGGCTTGAGTATGAAAATAATAAGTAGTTGTTTGTTAGATTGTTACGTACCGGCTTAGTGATCTTGCGGCTTGAATCCAGGAGCTGCGAACACAGAGATCCCAAGTTCGAATCCGCTCTCACCACTTAAGGATTCTTTTCCGGGCCGGTTCCCTTTAACCGATTTATCGAACTAAATCGGGTTTTTAAAAATTAATTCGAGTATAATCCCGAATTAACCGGCCTGGAAGTTCGCAGTCTAAGTTGTCAGGTCTGCAAGTAGAGAGGTTCCCTCGAGTCTTTACCTTCAGATTGTTTCTGGCCGGTTCTTACAGTCGAATACGGCTCCCCAAGGCTCTGGGAGGTGGACGCCCAGAGAGATCCAATTTATCGACTGAAATGCGAACTGAATCGGGGCCTTAAAGCCTCTTGCATAATGCGAGAGAATAGTGATAGCGATAAGCAACAGACACAGAATTCCAACTCGTCGGAAAATTTATCGCTATTGCTTATTTCGTTTTCTGATCTGCATTGATACATGTGTATTTTTATATGTTAGATTCCGCTGTTCCTACCGTTATTTATAGATATAAACTCTTTAAAACTGGTGTTATTTCTATCGCTATCGCTATTCCTTCCATTGTGCAAGAGGCTTAAAAGCGAGAGTCAAAGAGGAACTCATAAAAACTGGTCTAGATGACATTTTAGTGACTTTCGTAGCCCTACCCGCTCGAAACATACCAGATTGTTACGTAAAGTAACAATGGTACAGAAAAAATAATAATAAACTAATATTAAAAAAATAACCAATTAAATGAGTAAATCAAAATCAGTTGCGTGGGCAAAGTGTCGAACACCATGTGTGCTTGCTGAGACTCTGTGAGACTTTAGCAAACTATGGTAAAATAACGTTTTTTCTTGAATTGGAAAAAAAAAAAAAACAAAAATTCATATTTTCTAAATTTTCTGCTTTTTGAGATTTTACTTATTACAATCTTAGAAAACTAATTCCGAATGCATAGCGTATTGTATAATTCGATCGATGTAAGAAAAAAAGAAATTTTCACAACACTGGAATTTTATCATCAGATACTATGATAAAAAAAATTATTTAAAGTCTTTCAGTATATCTACGTATACAAAAAATAATTGTGCGCACTTATATTTCAATATATACAGAATTACAGTTCAGTATATTTCGATATGTGACGGATATGAGATAACATTTCGCAACTTTTGACGTGACCTCTTCTTTGCAGATATCGCTCGACTATAAATAAAATAATGAATTGGTATAAAGGAGAACCTTGGATTAAAGGAACACAAGCCTACGAAGACATGCAGGCAACACGTGGAATGCATACAGCTGTAAGAAACAAAGTGTCGCGATTGACTCGCGAAGAACTCGACGCAGCGTGCACATTCGCGAATCCATGGTGTCCGGATCGTGAAATACTTCAGAAGGATTTCGCAGAATTTTGCCCGTTTGGAAAAACCGGATGTCCTTACACCGCGATCACTGAACTAGCAAAGCCAAACAGACCGATAGATTTCAATAACGCTGACATGGCGGGCGTTCAAGGCGCGATAATATATCACACCTTGCTTCATCCAAAACGTGTCGGAATACATGACGCGAATGATGAGAATCTCGAAGCCTTCTGTCATATGTGGCGATGCTACGGATATTTTCTGGGTATAAAAGACGAGTACGTGCACTTCTTTTTAAATGTCCCGTAATTTTCCATATTGTATACTTAAGATATGATTTCTTTATTAAAAAAAAAAAAAAAAACTAAAATTTCTTTCAGGTACAATTTTTGTCGTGGAAGTCTCGAAGAAATAAAACAACGTACACGAGATTTTTTTCAATACTGGGTAATACCAAGTTACATGGACTTCACACCCGAATTGGAGCATATCGGAAGATGTTTTACCGAATCCTTACCCTACTACTTTCCTTTATTGTATATACCTTTCAAGGTATATTTATTATTCATTGCAGATGCAATAAATACAAAAATGACACATTTACATGCGTCGCTTAATTACGTAGAAAGAATTGTTTACAAATTCTGGACGTGAGTATAATAACTCTTGTATCTTAACTTAAATACACGATTAGTATAAGACTACGTCCCTTATAGTAAATATTTGGATTCAATCATGGTTTTGGGTTGACGAGCGCAAAATTTTTTCTGCAGACTTATATATGTTGCTTTTGACAATCCATCAGCAGCTAACGGCCAGTCTGTTATCCGTCCGACATTAGTTATTATTATTCAGTTTCAACAACATGTTATTTTTATCTTCTGTATATCTGACTACAATTAAGACGAAAACATCTCACTGATACTTATTTAGTTTTCCATTATCAATTTCATTGTCACTTGTGTGTAGACAAGTGTCTGAAAATTGATTAGCATTTTGTCAGATTTTGTGCTCGATTTTTCAAAACCATTATTCCGAATGTTTATTATCGTTTTTTTTTAGCGTTTGTGTAAATAATGAAACACACATTTTCTTTTGATGACGTTTAATACTTTTGATATGATCTAACTATTTATTATTAATACATTTTTAGGTTCCTATTATTCCGTGCACTTCAAGTGTCAATCATAAGAATTGTTTTTAATACGTTTGCGAACAAATTACTTGAAAAAGCATTAAACTATAAACCGGAAAAGCTAGCAGAGCTTCATGAGAAATCGAAGAAGAAAGTACCAGATTTTTTGATCAAGCGCGTGCAGATATCATAAGATGAATGTTTTTGATCTATGTATATATATGTACTAATTTTGTATTTTCTAATAATTCTAATAATAGTTTCTAATAATAGTTTTGTATTTTCTAATAATTTCTAATAATATACATTAATTTAATGCAATAATTATTAACGATCTTTTACATTTAACTGGCGATATGTATCAATCTAGACTATATAAATTCGGAATTTGCAGTTGTGTAACCTTATAGTTGTAATAAATAAAGATTTAATATTATTCCTATATTCTGTAATTGTACTCAGTCCTTACTGTAACAACGATTTTTTTCATTTTATATAATAAACTACCTATTTATCTAATCATTTAGATCAGTATTTAAATACGTGTAACACACACACATTTACAAAGAGAGTGTCCGGATTAAAAAGTAATTACATACAAATTCTTTGTCAATTACGTTTGCTGTGAAAAAACGTGGAGAAACAGCTTAGAAACATAACAATACTTACACTAGTACAGAACACTCATTTTGGTACGGATGATTTTTTTATGTTAAAATCATATGCGTGTCGCGAAGTTGCTTTCAATTTCATATGAATAATCTCAATAGTTTATATATATAAGTGACAAAAAATTAATATATTACTTAGTGTTTCTCGCTATCCAAAAACTTACACCGCTTTGATCGCTAATTCCTGCTAAACGACTGGAGCATAAACTTCGATGTATGCAATGATGAAGCTTTAATTAACAAAATATATTGAGTATAAAGATATTTACTTTATTATTCTGTTTTTTAACATTTATGGGTGAATGACATAAAAAACTCTACATTTGTTAATCCAGTTAATATAGAAACAACGTTGCGACATAAAAAACATAAATACGCAAAACAAATTATGTTAAAAAACTACTTATAATAAATACGGTTGTATCAAGAAAATTAAAAAAACGATGTAAATGAATTGGTAGCAATAAAAACTGCTTTAAGATGTTATCTCAGAAAGACCGCGCTCGCAAATTATCAAGTAACTTTTGATTTCTGATTTCAGTCAATCACTCTCCAATACGCAATTCAAGATAATGACAGAATTAATTGTTAATTCTTGCTTCATTGCTAATTATATATTTTTATTTTTAATGATACTTCAAGCACTTGTTTTATACATATAAATCATACGTATCACCAGTGATACGTATGATTTAAAAATCTTACTATTAATTTAATGCTTTGATAACGTGTGCAAAAAAGAAAGAAAATGAATATTATCTTAATATAAACGTCAATATATTTATATAATGTATGTACATGAATATTTATTATCTGAATATAAACGCGTCAATATATTTATATAATTAATTATTCAACGATTCAGCGTAGAAAATCATACGCAGTAGTAATGTAGGCATAACTGAACGGTTTGCAAGATATTTTGCAGGTAAACAATACTCAAAGCGGTTTTGTCCCAAACGTTTCGACTATATATTGAGTCTTCTTCAGTGGATACTTAAATTAACAATAATTCACATCATATAATTGTAACAGTCAAATTGACAGACCCTGACAACTGACTCTATCGATTTTATAATTTGACTGTTACAATTATATGATGTGAATTATTGTTAATTTGAGTACCCACTGAAGAAGACTCAATATATAATCGAAACGTTTGGGACAAAACCGCTTTGAGTATTATTTACCTGCAAAATATCCTGCAAATTGTTCAGTTACGTCAACATTACTACTGCATATGTATTTATATAATGTATGTACATTCATATCAGTTACAGTTTGTTAGTCTCGTTTCTATAACGTCGCGCAAAGGAAGACTGACAAACTGTAACGGCACTATAGAATGACGCTCATATCTCAATCTCCCAGTTTTGGGAATAAAATAACAAAACCGTTGGCGAACGAAAGTGAAAACTTAAGCGAATGTGAAAAACAAGTGTTGCTAATGAAAAGCACATTTGATTCAAAATTGTTTCCCGATGATTTCGATACGTGGACTACAAAAGAACAATACAGATGGATAAACGGAAATCTTCGAAAGTTTTACCCAAATATGCCGGAAACGTTATTGGGATATGTGACCGCTGTCTTTCGCCAAATTAAGTTTGATCGATCTCCGGTGGAGACGCCCGAATGGCTAGATATAGAAAAGTATCGAAGAGGACAAAAGTTTGTACGAGAAAATTTTCTGGCAATTATTGTCAACAAACTGATCGGTCTTCTTCACGTGTATTGTTTCACGGATGGTCTAAAACCGATTATTATAGGAGGAAAGAGTCATACGTTACAATTGGGTTTCAAAAGGTATTTCACATCGCGTATATAAATTTTATTAATAATTCATAAAACACATAAAGTTTTCCTTTTGAAACATAATAACAATCGCGATAAGAGATAACAATCTTTTAATATTTAATCTTTGATATTATCAAGCTATTTGCGACATATTACACGTACTGAGCACTTCGAATTATTTATATGTTATCAGCAATGTTGTGCATCAGATTTATATTCTGATATATATATTTTTCTCGAAATAATTTTGCACAATTTCGAAGGTACTCTTTGACTATGATGCGAATACTTAGCTGGTATCTTGAAGAACCTTGGGTCAAAGAAACGCAAGCCTACAAAAACATGCAAACTACGAATAAATATCATCTGTTAATGAAGAACAAATTGTGCCAGCTCGATAACGAGCAAATCGACGCCGCGGCCACACTCGCGAAGTTACGATGTCCGGATCATGAGATGCTTTTGAAAGATTTTGCCGCGGCGTGTCCTTTTGAAAAACCTGGACAGTGTATTTATCCTTTTTTAGATAATTCGCCGTACAAACCGAAAGGTGTAAATAATGCGGACATAGCAGTCACGCAGGCCAGTTTTGCCGGCATGATTGTGCTTCGTCCGCAAGACATGGGAGTGCACAATGCAACCGACGAAGATATAGAAGCCTTCTGTCATATGTGGAGATGCTATGGATATTATCTTGGACTAGAAGACGAGTAAGTAATATTTGAGAGAGAGGAGACGAGCACATAAGTGACGTATGCCTTATATGCGATTGTGTTTGTTATGCACACTCTGTCTTGCGTCGCTAATGTTACACCAAATCATCAGGTACAACTTTTGTCGTGGCAATTTGGCAGAAATAAGACAACGTCTACGGGATTATTACGAATATTGGGTAAAGTCTAATCTTAAGAATGCCTCAGTTGAATGGGAGCACATGACGAGATGCTTAGTCGAGCCTATGAATTTCTATCCTTACGTGTATATGCCTTACAAGTCTGTGTTACTGATCGCCACGGATTTATTAGATCTAAATATGCCGCGTTTATACGCGTCTCTTAGTTATCCAGAATGGATCGCTTACAAGATCTACAAGTAAGTATAATTTAGTGCATAACTGCGGATGGATTTTTAATACAGTAATCAATTTTTTACGAGAATTTTTTTACATAGACTACCGATCATATATGTATATACACACGCGCGCGCGTCATATCATATAGTATGTAAATAAATTTTTATTTCAGAACGTTTTTATAAAACAAATATATATTTAGATTCTTATATATATATATATATATATATTATATATATGAACTAGACTGACATTATAGAAATTGTTTTGATCGAAATTGTAGCTTCGACAAAGAACATTAGGTACAGGAAACACTTATGTAAATTGATGATAATAAATGTTGTCTGTTCATAGTCCATTTTATTGCACAATGTATCTCAATGTCAATGCACATGTTCACAGATTCGCGACTATAGTAAATTTATAAGACAACGTAGAAATCATCATTGAAGTGTTGTACTTAACATCATTGAAGCTTTGTATAATTAACATAAATTACTGACATACGTGGCAATAAAATCTGTTTTGATCAATGCATATTTTAATATTTGATTTAATATCAAATAGTGCGATAAATTATTCTGGAAGACTATTAATATACAACTTCGACAGATCTGAACATTTTTATTTTAGAATGTTTTAATAAGACGGATCTTTCTCTGTCACTATGTAAAAGATTAATAAATATAATCCGTTCTCAATTTCATCAACACTTATATTCAGTCATAACACTCGTATATTCAGTGAATTATGAAACCTACTTTACTTCTTTTTTATTTGCAGATTTATTCTTCAATATGGTTTAAAGGTCTCTATTGTAAGAGAAGTTATAAACAAATTTATAATTCGCATATTTAAAATAAAACCCAATCAAAAGTAATCGAAGAACTTTGTCTTATTTTGACATTGGTGAACACAATTATCACCCAACATTTTTTTATTACTGTGTAAAACTTTTTTAATCACGTTGTACGTATATTTGAGTTTTTTTGTGTAAAATTTGACACAGTTATTTTCTGCGCAACATATCAATTGTGAACATTATGATTTTTTAAATTACTTATTTCGTCAACGCTCTGAAGAAAATCAGAAATATTAGACGGCAAATTTATTTACAAAAATTATTTATAAATAAAGAAATTTTCAGCATTAAATATTGTTTATTTTAGAGCTACTTTTATAATGTGATTGTTTATTATCTATTAAAAGGAAAAATATAGGGGTCAGAATATGTTAACATTGCAATGACTTGTTACTGCTGTGATTGTCATACAAGTAAGAAATAAAGATTGTGTCCTAAAATTGTTATCAAAACTGTAGTTTTTTTCTTCCACCCGTTCAGCGGACTAAACTGTTGTGTAACTGTTGAAAGATTTTCTGCTAAATGTCTTTCGGTGATTTTTATTTTATGTATTTGCCGACAGATTTAAGCAGTCGCCATGTTTCGCAGAGAAAAGAACATTCAGAAATGTATGTAAAACCGTCGGAAGAGTAGCGTAAGTAATAAATACTGAGAACTGAGTTGTGCTGAACGCGACAATAAATTACAAGCTGAATCATTTCGTACTTACGCGCGAAACTCACAACAAGCGTCGTTCCCGCCGTTGCATCGCCTGATTATTCGTTCGTCGTTTGATTGGTCTTCGCTTTAGCTTCTCACACGCATGATCCGTGTGCATATAACATGTCATCGCGGTGTTTGTCAGTGCTGTAAATATGCGCGCATTGTTAACCGCGTGAAGGAGCCGATACATTCGCGTTTTCGCGTAGCCGTGAGAAAGGGATTTTTGCACGCTGAAAATTAACGAAACATGTAAAATCACGCAAATAGGACGCGAGAATATCTGATATCTTGCGAGTCACGTGCGTGACAATAAAAATTCGGCACGTATTCCTCACTCACCGCAATGCCGCTGAGCCGTTTGGACGCCGTCTACAGGAGCATATTGCTCACGAAGTTCTTTACAAAAGGTTGGGGTAATCCTGAGAATTTGAAGAGGTAAGCGAGTTAACCCTGATCTCCAATTTACAGTGTCACTCGCTGCGCATTTCACGCCTTAAATTGAATACAAATACATAGAAGAATGTCGTTGTTATCGTCGTGATGTTAGATATATATATATATATAGGGTAACTGTCCCTATTAGTGTGCCTGTCCCGATTAGTGTGCCTTTATATTTAAATAAATATTACAGAAAAACAAGTGAAAATAAATAAGTAGAGTATTTTTTTATTTATAGTTATGATATCAATGGATTTTTTAAAATAGTTCATTTTACATTTATAAATATGTAAAGTATAGTAAATATTTTTTAAAAATTTATACTATGATTTCGTCAGATAAACCAGCTTTTCTTGTCCAAAACCTTAAGCAAAAGTCACCGTTTATGAGTATATAATATTTAATATTGAATGATGTACAACAGTTAAAATGTACTTTACGTAAGAAAAGGGTTTGATTTTGCAAAAAAATGCAATTTAAGACACTTTAAAGCATTTTATTAGCAATAAATGGTGTTTTCACAAACAAGGACAAGATTTCATGGCTTGTCCCTATTTATGTACTTCAGCCGGCTGTCAAACGTAACCTTGTTACGTTTCTATAGCAGTGTGAAAGTGATGAAGTGATGAAGTTTTAATAAACTCTCTCTAAATCTGTAAAATATATATTTTGTATTTTTCTTTCAATGAACTATTACTTTATTTATTAGTCATTGCTTTGCATTAAATTATTAAAACAATCTTTTTTAAATATTTAACATTGATAGTTATCATTACTAGAAATACAAACATATATACATTTGTTTCATATAGTTTTGTAACATTTATTTAACTAAAACTTCATAATTATGAACAAATACACAAATAGGAAACTTATAATTTATATTTATAATTTGAGATGGACACAAACTGAGGGCTCACAATTAGAGACTAGCACACAAACTGGAGGCACATAATTTGGAAT